TTGTGTCAAAGCGGGTTTTCATTATTTATGTATTTATATTTATTTGTTATGTGTATTATTCAATATGAACCCAGTTCTGTTAACGGATCGAAAATTTTGAGTAGATTTCATCAGATTGCCTAGTCAATGTGGAAAATAAACAGCGTAGTCAATTTTCAGTTTGCCCAAATAAGTAGGGATTTTTCATAATTCCTTTTAAATTGATCATCAGACATTTCGCACATTGATGGAGTTTGTTTATATATAACTAAGTTTATTTAAGTAAATTATCAAATCCCATGATGATTTGTTTTTTTATTAAAAAGTTCTAACTTAAAATGCTGCTCTAAGAACTTTACCTCTAAAAACTGTATCCCTAAAAAGTCCTTTAAACTCTAGCTCTAAAATATTCCCCAACCGCTTTATTTCTAAAACCAGAAAGCAAAAAAGAAAAACCTAATTTACTCCATTTTTTTAGGGTGCTGCTTCAATTACATAAAATACTCCAAATATAAACGCTACGCAACAGATTCGTTCCAGTTTTCGTTTGTGTCAAGGCGGTTTTACATTATTTGTGTATGTATATCTATTTCTATGCAAGTTGCTATAGTGGATCAATTTGTTTGTCTGCTAGCTGATCAAAAAATGTGCATTTTTTTAAATTTATTTATTATCAGATTGTCTAGTCAATGCGAAAAATAAACTTTTAATCCTCAAATTGACTAACTCACCAGACATTTCGCAAATTGCCTAAAACATCAGTCAGCATAATTCCCAGTAAATTTTTGGCGGTATTATTTTTTTTTTAAGTTTTTAAAAATCTTATTAAACATTGCTGTGTTTTTAAAAAAAATTCTGAAAAGATATTATCAAAACATCTTTCCAAGTTTTTTTTATCATTTGGGTTTGAACTCTGCCTACAATAGCGCTTCTAAGCTCTCCAAAAGCTCTTCTAAAAGCCTAACCTCCAAAAATTCTAAATTTCTAACTCTAAAAGCAGAAAAAGGAAAACCTATCTTTATTCTCTAGTCTATTTTTTTTACAGGCTGTAAAAACGTAGAAAAGAGGGTGCTCAAATAAAGCTCGTGTTTACTGCAGCAATACGACCAAATGCTTTGGCGTCTATTTTCAAATGAGATTATAAAATAACTAATAGGGTACCAAAAATCAAATGGTTGCCTCTTAACGATGCGTAATGTTACACATTTCGCTTTGAAAATCCTAAACAGGATATCAAATTTCACGACGTCATAATTTTAGCAGATAATTCGGCAAAACTGTTTCAGAAGTTGTCTTCATTGTAATGCGGTTGCGAATTGAAATCCTATTAATAATTTTCTTCGGCAATAAACGTCAAAAAGTCGCAAAAACCACTCAGAAAACGGATTCGAACTCTCAAGGATTGAGACGACCACCGTATTTTTTCATAACACGGCACAGTTAAAACCGGAATTAAGAAATGGAAATGCTGAGAGTCGGGAAAACAAAGAGATTATTAATTGGAAAAAGATTAATTGGGTTGGAGTTTTTTTTTTCGGTTAAGTAATATTAAATTTCCATGAAGCAATTTCGTTCCTAATGTTATTTCGGGAATGCCAAATTAGCAACACATAAATAATGCGTCTGTGTTTGTACATTTCGAGACCTATATTATCGGCTGGTGTTTTAGCCCGATCCTTGGGACTTGGGACAAAGTCGCCGTAACAGGTAAAGTTATGTCGAAGTTGTTCGACATTTGATAAAACCTACGAATTACCTCCAAAGCGTGGACGTGACTAATTGTTTTTCTTTAACATTTTGCCCTCCAAGTTCACCTAATGCAATTAATCTTGGCCACTTTATTGTTTTTTTTGCACGAACAAACACTGTAACTATTTAGAAGACAAAATGGACTGGCTAAAATTGTCTCGTTAATCTTTTTGAATTGTAATTATATTAGATGAGGATAATGATGAGCAATTTGATTCGTAATTTTAAAATTCTTAAAATTGTTGTCCTAACGAAACCAACCACGGACTACTAAAAATCCCTAAAAAATTTGTAAATGTTAAAACGATCAAATTAGCTTTTATTTCAAAAGCGGAAAAGATGTCATCGCAATCGTAAAGTTAAGATAATAGATTGAAGGAAATTAGCTCGTTCTTACAATAGCCCGCGTTTAAACATCGCAGAGACGGGAGAAAATTAAGTTTTTAACTATATTATAACCACCGGGTTCGTTTTTTGTTCGTTGTCGCCCCTCAATAAAATGAAATTATGAAAAATAGATGGCGGACTTTATTTTCGTTGATCTGTTTCGCGCCCGTTAAAATACTCCAATTTTAATGGAAATTCGTCGAACTTTTTGAAGAAAATTTTGACAGTCCCCCTTTTCCAGCGTTGTAAAGAGAAGAAAGCCGCTTTAAATTAACTTGTTTTGAAAGAGAAAATAATCCTTGTCGTTCGTCTTTGTCTGACAGGTGTAGCCGGGAAACAATTTTCTATAACACGATGCGAAGGACTAATTGGGCGGCCAATTTTGACAATTTCAAATTATGAATGCTGTTGTGTTTGATTTTTTTCGACAACTTACTCTATACAATAATTGTTAATTAAACACAGTAATGGAAAACATTTGGGCAAGTTTACTTCAGCACTTGGCACTTGATGGCGCTGTTTTTATTGCTTTACGGTTCTATTTAAAATAAACATGAAATACTTTTTACCCAGAAGGTTTTTTATAATACTAATGAATACTTGGAGTGTACTCTCATTATTAGATTTGTCGGTAATATAATAGTTATTAGTTACTTCTCTATACTATTGTATCAATATTTTGTTATTTTGGACGTACCATCTGTTGTTGTATAACTTATCTGAATGGTTAATAAAGTTCTATTCTATTCTATTCTACATTAGTCACAGCCGACGTTTACATATTAATTCGATTTCAAGAAGAATGATTTTATTTTCAAAAACGCATTTTTAATAATAAATAAGTCGAACTGCGATTTGACACACGAAAATTTCGAGTTATCAAGACTTCGAGTTATCAATAAAAATTACAAATGCATGTACTTTATTGCGAATGAACACTTATTCATTCATTTTTAAAAATGAAAATTGTGAAATAGTAGTACATATGTATGTATGTATTTACATAATATATGTACATACAAATGTATTGTATATATACCCAGTATATATAAACATAGTATGTATGCGCATATTCATACATATGTATGTACATATTAAAGTTTACTCCTTCACTGGAAAAAAGTCAGTTATTTGTGACTGACGACCGGATATCTTATTTTGGTTTTCAACAAAAGCTTCAATTTTATTTAAACAATCATAGAGGGAATCGGTTGTGTATTCACTGGTTTTCAAATAGGAACGCAAGACAATCAACGAATTTTCAACCAATTCATTTGAAGGTGGTTGCTGAGAATCATCTTCCAATTCCTCCTCTATCGTGTCACTTTCGCAGTCATCTTCGATGTTTAACTGTACCGGTTCGGATCTGCAGGACTCGATAATATCTTCATCAGTAGGAAACTCTGAAGTAACAATATCCTCATCCACATGTATAAAATCGTTGATGGTGCTATTCTGCTATACCTCTAATGTTTGTCCAAGCTTTAAACTCGATTTCTATTTGGATTTCGTCTTCACTCTTTTCTTTCAGGCGTTCACTTAGGAAAATCAAGGGAATCTCATCTTCTTCTTCCCATTCAGAATACTGACCAAAACCGGCTTTTTTAAAACAATTGGAAATTGTTTCAGGCTTAACGTCGATATTCCATGCGGTAGTTGCGTCGTCAACACAATCCATTAGTGTAATGTTATTGTTTTTGTTTTCTTCGACCCCACTTGCACTGCCACTTTCCATTGCGGTGATGACTGAATGTTTATTTTTCAAAATTGTAGACACTGTACTTGCCAAAATCAATGCAAACAAATGCAAAAATCCAAAAATGTCTTTAATATAATGTGTAAATTGAATAGGGACAGTATTTTTCACTTAGTATTAACTAGTAAGTCATACAAGTGAACTTAGCAAGCACAGAAACTGAACTGCTTGCATAGATACGTTAAAAAGACAGGTTAAGATCGATCGTAATTAGGGGGTTCCCCGAGAAAATTCGACTTATCGAAGTTGGCACCAAATGTTTCGTTCGAGTTATCAAGATATTCGACTAATCGAAGTTCGAGTAATCAAGACAAACTAACACGTATTTCCTACTTTTGACGCTATTGCCAACCAATTTGGTTCGACTTATCAAAAATTCGAGTTATTGAAGTTCGACTTAATTTTTTACAATAATGATTTAAATAAAATTTTGTTTTCTCTCAACTGGAATTTGTAATTAGAATCTAATTTTTAGGTAGTGCAGAATTAGCCGCTTTTGATTTATTAATTTATGCTGTATATGTCTTATATGTTACATAGGCAGGTTAGGTAATCAGATACCTATTGTTGGTAGACTTTTTATTATATAAAATTGTGGAATAGCCTTGGATTGAAATGAAAACTTAAACAGGGTCACTGTCCAATTCCGATTGTAATAAAAAAAATGCAAAAAAAGCGTTTAACTCGTAACTAAAATAAGACAAAATGAAATTATAACACACAGTTTTTTCTGGTGTGCAAAAAAACATGATGATATGAGAATGTGTAATATGGTATATAGGAAGATTAGGTAATCAGATACCGATTGTTGCCAGACTTTTTATTGTTAGCAAATTGTTTTCATGCCGAATACTCCTTTATTCAGGATTAAAATGAAAACTTAAACAGGGTTATAGTACAGTTCCGATTGTAATAAAAAAGAATACAAAAAAAGCGTTTAACTCGTAACTAAAATATGGCAAATGAAATTATTACACGTAGGTTTGTTCTCTTGTGGAACCAAAAAAGCGGCTTTCCTGCATCCAAAAAGGAATGACCGACGGGGAGAGAAGATGTCGCTACTCCCGGTTGGAGGGTAGCGGCAAATAAGAGCCGTAAGCAGGCGTTCAGAGACAGACGATATCGGGACACTGCGATACGCGTTTGAAAAGCTCGACGGAGCAGAATTTCCATAGTCGCGATCGAGAACTGTCATGTGCAGTGTCTACGTGTTACCACTATGCCATTTTTCTTATTTTTTATGGTAGTCCTATATGGTTATTTGGGATTAGACGTAGAAGTGTCACAAGTCTGTGCCCAAAGGGCTGATATATTCGGTAATTGCTGCATGTTTATTAATGGTTTGTTATTAAGGCAAAAAAAAAGTTTTCCGAACTTTGCGCCCGAGGGACGCGTCGGGAGCAGATAGTCCCGAACATTTTTAATTAAACAAATTGACTTCGTTAAGATATTTGCTGCTTGTGAAATTAGACGTGCGCGAGTTTAATGAAATGATGACTGTTTCCAAATTAAGTCGGGTCGTTATAAATTTTGGAGATGTTTCAAAATTGCCGATTCGTTAATATTCCGGGCAATTTTCGTATGTTACACCTAGAAAAAATATTTCTTTTTAGAGAACAGGCTCATAACGACGCGGTTCTAGATTTATGCGAAGCTAGAGTTCCTGCGACAAAGCTTTTAAAGGTCCGTGTACACACATTTTATCAATGTTGAGAACTTCATCGGGTTAAAAGCTACGTTCGTAGAATCGACGATAAAAATACAACACATGCACAAATGTGCGCTTTAAATCGCTTAACATTTGGCGCTTTTCAAAACAACTTCACGGAATTTCTCAAACAATAGTTTCATTTCGTTGGGAAAAGTCTAAAATTAGTTTGGTCCTGTGATACATAGTACTTTTGACCTTTCGGATGGTGGTGTGGAACGTCGACACTGATTTTACTTCCTCTTATTGTTTACTACGTAATGCCTTTCTCTCGAAATAAAGAAAGAGACAAGAGAAAGCGTTTAACACGAGCTTCCTTTTATTAAAAAAAAAGTTGCAAACTCGTCAATAATTCGTCGACTTCCCCAGAATGCTATATTTAAAATTTAAATATTTTCCCTACATCAAAAGTAAGCCGTACGTCAACTCCAATTTCCTAGAACTCCGCCACTATATTGTCGACGATATTAAGTTTACATTTCAAAATTCATACGTTTAAATATACAAAAATTTTAATCGAAAGTTTTTTGGAGAGTAGGTACTCGCAATAATTCCCGAAAAAGATTACGCTGCAATAAGCTTCTTACGGGCTTGATAAATAACATGGAGTTTAACAATTTAATGGGGTATTTTTTACCGTTTTGAAGTCTGGCAATCCCTAACGTTCAGCGTTATCGGCAAGCCTGAAGCGATTTCTGTCTTATGTCATTTTAGTAATGCAGTAATTGACGAAACCATTATGACCCCTAGGTCCCAGATTAAATTTTGTCTCTTTCGAGCTTCTGGATTATTTTACGTCCAATTGCTCCTCCTTCGCATTCATCTTCTATTTGAGATAATATATATCCTATAGGTATTTTTTTTTACTTCATATGTAACTAATTGACGACTTCCAAACATTGTGCGTCTAACAATATTAAATGCATTAAACTATTTCTTAATTCTAGGCGGCGTTAGAAATTTATGCCACCCACAAACTTCGCAAACTTTGCCGAAATTTTCCGCTGTTATGAGGTATAAACTATTTCGAGATTTCATGGCCTTTGTAACGATACGTATCGAGTTTTGTTTATCGAAAACAAATGGACTATGGAACGAGCTCGATATAAACAATTTTGTGCAAATAAATAATTTATTAGTCAAAGTTTTAAAACGATCCGAGCGAACCGTTTAGACAAAATATACGTGGCTCGTCTTCTTGAAGTTGCCGACTAGATGTGATTACCACTTAATCTAATTCTCTCGTCATAACATTCTGTAACTAATAAGGAAGTTGTGAAGTCAGTAAAGTAACATTGTAATTAGTTAGCACAATTTAACATTCGGGCACCGAGTGGAATTAAGGGTAAACAAAGAGACGTTGAAAAAATACATTAACTTTGAATTTTATTTTTTGCGTTGTTCTTATATCCTTGATAAGATGATTGGAGATGTTTGACCAGCTGAAACGTTGTGGTATTTGATAATAAAGACAATGGAATGGAAATTCCAATTATCTAATATCTTCATCACGTATCATTGTCTATGATCCTCCATCGAAAACTGTGTCTTATTTCGAACTTCCTTTATTTTTTTTGGAAATTATTCCACAAATATTGTTTGACGGCACTTTAACAAACCTGCCCCAGATAGGGATAAAATAGGCGAGAGCATGGATCATATTTCAAAATTTGAACGTTTATTTCAAAGAGACATGAGCAACATTAAGGTTGCATAATGGGGCATTGTGCTGTGGAAACAATACCGAGATATGTACCTGTTTCTTATTGCGAGACGAGCGCTTTTCCTTTGATGAACATAGAATTCGAAATATAGTTTTCACAGTGCTAAATCGTTTTAATTTGCCGCTGTTTCCAACCTCACATGCGCACGCGCAATTGCGGTATAAAGTAATTCGATATAATATTAATATAGATTTATTACTAGAATAGCCGTCTATATGGAAGAGCAAAGATATACTGCTTTATGGAAGCCATTTTTATATAAATAATAGAGACCGCACCTCTTTATGGCATGATGGAACATTAACTTTTGAATCAGGTATATAAAGCAGAACAGTAAAAAGAATTGTAATATAAAGGAAAGGAATTGCGTCGCCAGTCAAGATATATTTGACTTCTTTCAGTTTCCCATTAATTTTAGATTACATTGCGGACGGAATGCGAAAGAATATTGCGTTTTTGTACATTTTAAATCGCGTGTCAATGCACCAATTCGCACTAAATTAAATTTTATAACGGTCGAAGTGAACAACGGCAATTAATTATTTGCCCAGCGCTGTATAGGTATATAAAATTTGCAGCCAATTTGCCGATTCAAATATAAAATTAACATCGCCCTAAAAAAATTTATTGCCCCCGCGACATAATTCCATAGTTAAAAAGTTTTATTTATAGAGTGCCGATTGAAATATCGCGTCAATCCGTTTCTCATTCGGCGGTTTCATTCTATTAGTTTATGATTCACGCTTATTGACTATAAAAGGCCTTTCACGTGGGATGGATATTATATTAACGACGTACGAAAATCGTGTTGAGCATATTATCCTACACCAGTTTTCACCTTGACTCGTAAAATCGTTTTTGCGTTCTACGCTACAACCTTGTTCCCTATAAATTTCAGCTTTACGATTTTACTGGCATTATATCGATGATATAATAAAAGGATGTCCGATGAGTCGTTGAGAAAGTGACTAGCAACGTGCATCCAACATACACAGACAATCATTATGAATTATACGTTTCTACTGATGGCAAATTGAACATCAAACATCATAGGAATACAAACAAAATCATCGATCTTAATGCCAAAGTGTAGTTTTAGTAATATTTGCGCTATCTTAAAAAATGTCATTTCACAGCTTAATTTACTATCAAGAATTCAAGAGAATTAGTGAATAAAATTAAATATTTTAAACTACCAAATAACGTCAAACTAATTTCTTTTGATGTCAATTTTTCAAAGAAAGTTCCACAGGGTACTGTAATACTTTTTACAAAACTTCGTCGGTTTTTGCTGAGTCGAAATTGCTGATGTTTCGCCAATTATCCTGTTGGCTTCTTCAGTTTCAGCGAAGCTCTGGAATCCAAAAGTTTTGTAAAAAGCATTCTTTTGATGTAACTATAAAGAATAACATTTTTCCATCCAAAAACCAAGAAACTTTTAACTTTTTATTTAAGTCTAGGAAGATGTGAAACAATGTATGTGTAACTTCGGGTTTTGACCGTTGCGGGTGGAGCTTCAATACTCCATTTGTACCCATTTGTAGCATAGTATGATTTAGAAGTACCTGCTTTATCTTGCCATCCGATGGAACATCTTGCGTGGTTGTGGTACTTTGGTGGTTGTTATCGGAAATATTTCTTGTGGTTCCTGACTTTACTCCTCCGATTCAATTTTAAAATCAGTTTCGTGTTAGCTGATATAGTCAAGTCGTTGAAACTAAAACAACTTTTGTCTGTTTCCAAACACTCTACGCTCACTGCTTAAAGCGACGCTGATTACTATAAAGTCTGATATATCCCTAAAAATGTAAAAAATTTGATAATTACGTGACAAAAAAATGTAACATAATTGGTGAGGTGGGGCCTCGGCTGAAAGCATACATTTTGCCGCTAAATTTGCTACCAAGGATTCGACAGAATTAGTAAGTAAAATGAAATGTTTAAAACTATGAAATATCGCTAAACTAATGTTTTTTGTGGAGCTGTAAATAAAGGATATCATTTTACCATTTTCTTAAGAGGGCACTGTTGTGGGTTTAACCTGTTTGTGTCTCCAAGAGCAGGTAAACAAATAAATAAATAAATAAATAAATAGTTTCATATTTTTGAAATAACGCCATATTAATTCGGAAAAAAAGCAAGAAAATTTATATGAATTGTATTAGATCAAAACTATTTTATTCTATAATTCTAAAATTATTTTATAATCTGGAATTGATGGTTTAATTATGGGAATATCCTTTGGAACAAAAAATACCTAAGCGTCAATTGTTTAAACACTTTCTCTACTTATATGATATTTTAATTTGTTTTACTGGCACTGATAAACAGTTATCCAATTTTCTTAACCTTATCAATAATTACAGGGTAATATTAAATTTATAATAGAAGAAAAAGTTAACAATTCAATTAACTCTCTAGATCTGGCCATTAAAAAAGAAAATAATTTTCATTATTTTTCCATTTTTCATAAATATTCCCACACTGAAACTAATATTCCACAGTTTTCTTGCCATATTCATATGATTCATAGAATAACCTCTATTCTATAAAATTTACAAATTTTACAACTGAATTAAATATCACCAAACGAATAGCTTTTAATAACTGTTATTTGTCAAACATCATGGACCAAATTAACAATTCCCTGGAAAAATGAATTGTTAAAAAGTTACACGATTAACTCTGCTTATAAAGTGCTAGAAAACATTTTGTTTTCTAAACTACCGCTATTTTGGTTCAAAATCCTCTTTCAAATGTCGTGAGATATTTAAATCTCTAGTATAATGTTTGTTATGCTCGGTGTCAAGCTAACCTGCGTATGAATGATTTTTGAAAAGGCGTTATAAATCGAGTGCTGTTGCGGGGAGCTAAACAGCAAACC